TTGTGTATAATTTCTTCCTTAGAGCACAGCCTTATATAATGATGAAGAGGCATTGGATCCTCAATTCAAGATATAAAAGCTGTAACTGCTTTTTAAAAGCAGTTCCAGAGCCTGCTGTTGCAGAGCTTGAAAGAGTCTGTGCCAGAACAGACCATCCCAGCCACTAGCACAGCTTAAAGGAAGAGCCCTGAGCACTTGGGTAGGGTTTCAGGCCTCTTAAGTGTGGATGTCTCATTTTTCTGGTAACAGTAGCTGGATGTGTTGCAGGTTCCATGGATGAAGTTCTGGCTTCTCTGAAGCGCAGTGAAGTTCACCTCTGCAGAGTGGAGCAGCCAAATCCCTACACCTCTGTGAAGGACAGCATCCTCTCTGCCATCAGGCAAGGGGTTAAACTAAGGAAAGTGAATCGAGATTCTGACAGGGATGGCAGCAGAGGATCCCCTAATGAGCTAGAGAGAAGCATTAAGGCAGCCATGCAGAGAATTAAGAAAGTGTCTGCTGATTCTGAAGAAGAGGAGGACAACGATCAAAATAATGGAGAATGGGACAACTAACCTGCCTAAGAGACCTGCTGACTGCAACAGAGTGTGGGCCTCATTTTGCACATTGTAGAAGACTGTCCCTGTCAAAATGAAGGAACTGTGTGGTTGTGTGTGGTGTTCTCATAGTCCAAAATGTCTTGTAAAGTAAAAGAATCCTGCTGATTTTCTGTAGGAAATACAGATTCATATTTTTGCATGATAAATCATACTCCAAATTATGCTTGCACTAATAGGTGTTCCTGGCTCAACCATGTAGTGTTTTCACCACATCTGAAGACAGCTGAAATGCTGGATTTAAACATATTTAGATTGTTACTACACAGTGGGTAATGCTATCACAACAAAGTTTAAGGAGTGAAAATATAACTGAAAATCTCTTTTGTCAGATAAAAGTAGAAGCAAATCTGTGGTGACAGAGGCAGACCAAAAAATGTAGCATAATCTGGAATCTTTCACTCCTACCTCCATTGTCCAGAAAATTCTTAAACATTTTGCTTGTCTAATACAGCTCACTCTTAAATAACTGCATGGGTATTCCATTTATCATCATGTTACAAAGTGTGCACTTAGGGATGGCTTGATAATGCTGATTGGGAAAATCAGTTTCAAGTTTGAAATAAACACTACTGCAGTAATTACTGAAAAGTTTACTTTTTTAGCTGAAAGGTTAAGTATAGAGACCTTTTAGATGTTAAATGTTTTTCATGCATCTACATTTACAACGACCTGTTGACGTGAAAGAAAGAGCCAAAATCTTGTATACAATATTTTTCAGGATTTAGTCCTGCAATGCAGGGCTCCATTTCTCCACTGAGAACTTCAATGCATGTTTATAGCTACTCTCATGAATTTAAATTACCTGATGGCCTTACAAGTGGCAGGTATTTACATTGTGCCTGGAATCTGACTATTTCAAAATTCAGCTACATGCAATTTAGAGACTCTTGCTATTTTGGGTAGATAGTGGCACAAATTATTAAAGTTATTTTTTTGAAGTTTATACTGACCCTTAATAAAAGTATATCTTGACAGAAGAAGTAGATTCAGCGTGCTGTCATTTTAGGATACTGCTGTGAACTGAGTATTATTTATAGCATGGTACCCTGGGTTTGGATAGCAAGTGGCAGCCATACAGCAACTCTCACTAATGGAGTATGTAAATGCCCTTATTTTCCCAAATATTTATGAATTGTAATTTGGTAACAAAATTGAAAATACAGTGCTTTAATTCCCTGTTCCACTGTAGAGCAGCAGATCTGTTTAATCAGCACAGTAAATCTGTATGCAGCAGTTTTCATGCAAGAAGCAGAAGCAGCAGCTGGGGGTTCATTTTTTACTGTTTAAGCACCTACTGCTGTTTGGATTTGGGAAAAAACCACTGGTTTTGGTCCACTGCTATGAAACCAGAGACAAAAGGAACATGAGCACAGGTCAGGTGTTACTCAGCTGGCCTGGGCTGGGTGAGCAGGGCAGAATCCACCCCAATACTGAGCACTTGCCATAGACAAAATCATGCTGTGAAAGCAAGGATTTCTTCCCCAAGGGTGCCCTGGGCAGAGGGGTGCTCAGCCCAGAGGGTGGTGCTGGGGCTGGGAGCTCTCTCACCCTTCAGTGGTGCTGTTATTTAAAGCTGTGTGAAGGTGCAGAGGCTCGGCTGCCTCCCCTGGCTGGTGCCTCCTGCCAACAGCACAGAGCCCTTTACTGACCCTCTGTTGTTGCATTCCTGGGAAGTTGCACACAGCTTAATGTAGAGAATTAAGTGAGTTGCAATTTCTCCAGCAAATCTTACAGCTTTTGTGTGTCCAACAGCAGCACTTTTACTCAGGAGAGGCCATCTGAGGATCAGCACCACTGGACAGTGATTCCTCCTGCTTAAGGGTTTCTTTCTAAACATGTCTGAAGCTCATCTGGGTCTGATCTCCTGTCCAACAGAGCTCTACGTCCCAGGCTGAAAAACATCCTTGAAAATCCACTCAGAAGCTGCTGAACCCACGTGTTTTCTGAAGCCTGTTTTATTTGCTGGACAGCCAGGCAGTCTGCTCTGTGGAAAATGGGCTGCTGCAATTTTCTGGTTGGTGTAGAAGATTTCACCTCTATCAAGTAATCCTCACTGCTTCACTACCAAGATTTAATGGATCCTACTCAGCAGAGTAGCTGCTGCACCACCAATTCTCCTGGATATCAGAAGCACAGCCAAGGTAAACAACAGAAGCACTGGCATTAGCCTAAAGAGAAGAAGGTGAGAGAGCAGTTTTCAAATACATAAGAAGCAGCTGCAAAGAGGAGGGAAGTAATTTGTTCTGTGTGTTCACAGGGAGATAAGGGGCCTAAATTACAGCTGAAATGATTCAGGGTAATGGTAGGAAAACCTTTCTAACAAACAATGAGAGCAGAGAGGTGCAGGGACAGGTTGCCTGGAAAGGTGGTTGCTGTCACTGGAAGTCTTTCTAAGGAGGTCAGACAAGCACCCCGGGGTGCTGCTGGTATTGCTGACTGCTGTGGCAGGGAGAGGTTTGCAGCCACTGCCCAGCTGGGCCAGGTAAGCTCAGTGTCCTGCTGCCCTGAGGCTCAGTTTGCTCTGCAGGGGAAGCCACTGCCTATTTTCTGAGAAATGCCCAAATGTAAGGACATAGAAAAAAAAAACCTTTCTAAGCTGCCCTCAGATTTTTCTTCTGTCTTTCTGTGACCATGACCACGGTGGGCTGTGGAGGGGAGGGTGGGTAAGAAATAGCCCCGGTGCCATGGGTTGGTGGGGACTCAAGAAAACCACCTGCCAAAAGGAGAGAGGCCTTAATGTGGATTTGAACTCAGGCTTCAGCAGATGCCCTCTCACCTCTGTGTTTGGTGCAGCTGCTGTTGCCCTGCACTGTCAGCAAAGTGCAAGGGCTGATGGACAGAAGAGGAGAAACTGGACTGATGGGTTGGATCTGTGATAACCAGCTCTACCAGACCAGTTTAATATTAACCTGGAAAATGCTGGGACATCTTTTTGACATTAAATACCTTTCTCAAACTACCTCACTCTGGGCTGGTAAGTGAATCTCTTGGTGGGAACAGTCTGCCCTAATTGTCCATCTGCAGACACTGATTTTTTAAACTGAAAAAATACAGTTGTCTGGCTTTAAAGAGTTAATGATGCATAAATTTGTTGGAAATCCCAGTCAGGAGGTAAAGAGATCGGTTTCTATAAATCAGTATCACTGTGGCTTGTGATCTTTCTAACTATGATGAGGGCAGTCCAGACAGCAGCTGCCAGTGTTTTTACAGAGGTTTAAAGCTAATGTATTCAAAAAGCTATTTAGTCTGACTGAAAGAACTTCTCTTTGAAACACCAGTGCTTTGATCACAGCAAGAGAAGTGTCGTGGCAGCAGTGCTGGGCACTGTGGCCGTAGCAGGTGGTGTCAGTGCAGCTTTGGGTTTTTCACCATTTCTGTCCACATGCTGCTTTTTGGGATTTATGAAGCTTCTCCAAAACAAGCCCTCCAGCTCAGTGCACAGGGCTGGCCCATAAGCTGAATATTGACCTTTTTTTTTTCCTGCAAAATGGTACTGAATCAGGCAAATCAAATCTGAGTGTGAACACTTTGAAGTGACCCAGACTTAAAGGGGCTTGAGCAAATGTGTCACAACGTGGATCTGTGGGATAGTGGGGATTGTGGAACAATCTGGATAGAAGGGCTTGAAGTGGTGAAGGTTTTCAGGGCAGCACCCATTATCCATCCTTCAATCACTTCCTTCTTTTATCCCTTAAAATAAAAAGATGCACATGTACACCAGGAGAAAGAAGAACAAAGAGGGTGAGTGTGAAGACATTGATTAGAACTAACAGAAAGCTGGGAAATGTTTCTCTTTTCAGTCTCTGCTTCTCTTTTCCTCTGCAAAATGGTTGGAAGATAAGAGTATGTACCCTTTGGAGAAAATGGGACTTAAGGCTATGCATGCCCTCAGTCAAAAAGCATGGATTTAATTCCAAAAGCTGTATTTGCATCCAAGAGCACATCTGTGCACTACATGCAATAACAACGTGATATTGGTAGGAGAGAGGGACACATCATTTCAGCTAAACCCATGGTGGTGATAAAAGGTGAGTGATATTGAAAGCATTTTTTAATAAATGCCACAGCAAACCTTGGCAGCAAAAACTGCTCAGAACAATATGTGAATGTATCCCTGGAGGAAACACTCAAAGCTGCTCCAGAACATGGCATTTTTTTCCTGGCAAAAAGGTATGTGATTTTCATTCTCAGCATGTCACGCTAAGCTGAGAGCAAGAAGCAACACAATTAAATCTGCTCAGGTAACAGTGACATTAACAGCTCAGCTACTTGTGAAAATGCTTTGTAAAACAAGCCATCTTTAGCAGGCCTTTGCTCTTGCAGTAAGGGTGAGCCACAAACTGCTTAAAATAACATCTTTAGCAAAACTATGTTTGTTCATTTTCCACCAGATCCCCCTCCAGCTCCAAATCCCCATTAAAGTGCCAAGATGAGGGGGACAGCATCCTCCCAGGGCAGCTGCCTGCAGGTGATCACATTCAGCGGCTGTGGCTTGGGCCAGCCCTGAGCAAGGACCTTCTGGCAAAAAGGACCCACAGCATCCCCAAGGTGAGCAGTCTGGTGGCCAGGCTGGGAGAGAACCTCCACATCCTCCTGGAGCCTGGAGTTCCCCTCACTTGAGCATCAGTTAATCACTCTCAGTGTCACAGATTTGCAGCTCGCTTCTATCCCAAGGCAACAGTCTAAACATCATCCTACGGGTGTCTTTGCAGAGCCTTGCAAAGGAGTTTCTCTGCTCAGCCCTGGTTCTCATCCTCTTCTCACCCAGAAGGAGTGGAAATGCTGCCAGCTCCAGCTCACAGCGTGGTTGGTATCCGTGTGTGGTTTCCATGTGTCTGGGCAGTGGGCACGGCAGACACCGGGGCTGAGAAAATGAGTCTGTCCCGCCCCTGGGGACAAGCTGGAATCACTCATTCATCAGCGGGTGAGGCACCGCCTTTCCCACAGCCCCTTCCTGCAAGCAGAGGTGACAGCGAGACCGGATCCAGTGCCTGCGCTCCCGGCCTACGGGAGAGCTCTGTGCCACCCCCGCCTCCCTGTGCCACCCTCCCTGTGCCACCCTCCCTGTGCCACCCCCCCTCCCGAGCCCTCTCGGCTGCAATGGAGGGCCGTGCGGGGGTGTGCGGGGCTGCGTAGGAGTCTGCAGGGCTGTGCGGGGGCGTGCAGGAGTGTGCACGGGTGTGCGTGAGCGTGCGGGGGCGTGCACAGGTGTGCAGAGGGGTGTGGATGAGTGTGCGGGGGTGGGCGGGGGCGTGCACGGGCGTGCCGGGATGTGCACGGGTGTGAAAGAGCGTGCGGGGTTGTGCAGGAACGTGCAGGAGCGTGCGGGGGTGTGCACAGGCGTGCCGGGTGTGCAAGAGCGTGCGGGAGCGTGCGAGGGTGTGCGGGGGCGTGCACGGCTGTGTATGAGTGTGCGCGGTTGTGCACGGGCGTGCCGGCGCGTGCAGGGGCGTGTATGAGTGTGCGGGATTGTGCAGGATTGTGCACGGGTGTGTATGAGCGTGCGGGGGCGTGTATAAGACTGCAGGGGCGTTCACGGGCGTGCGAGAGTGCGCGGGGGCGTGCACGGGTGTGCGCGGGCGTGCGCGGGTGTGTATGAATGTGCAGGGTTGTGCGAGACCGTGCAGGGGCGTGCACGGGTGTGAGACAGCGTGCGGGGTGTGCGCGGGTGTGCAGGGGCGTATATGAGTGTGCGCGGGCGTGCGCGGGTGTGCGCGGGTGTGCGCGCGTGTCTGAGTGTGCGCGGGTGTGCGCGCGCGTGTCTGAGTGTGCGCGGGCGTGCGCGGGCGTGCGCGCGCGTGTCTGAGCGTGCGCGGGCGTGCGCGGGTGTGCGCGGGCGTGCGCGGGTGTGCGCGCGCGTGTCTGAGCGTGCGCGCGCGTGTCTGAGTGTGCGCGGGTGTGCGCGCGCGTGTCTGAGTGTGCGCGGGCGTGCGCGGGTGTGCGCGGGCGTGTCTGAGTGTGCGCGGGCGTGCGCGGGCGTGCGCGGATGTGCGCGCGCGTGTCTGAGTGTGCGCGGGCGTGCGCGGGCGTGCGCGGGCGTGCGCGCGCGTGTCTGAGTGTGCGCGGGCGTGTGCGGGCGTGCGCGGGTGTGCGCGCGCGTGTCTGAGTGTGCGCGCGCGTGTTTGAGTGTGCGCGGGTGTGCGCGCGCGTGTCTGAGCGTGCGCGGGCGTGCGCGGGTGTGCGCGCGCGTGTCTGAGCGTGCGCGGGCGTGCGCGGGTGTGCGCGCGCGTGTCTGAGTGTGCGCGGGTGTGCGCGCGCGTGTCTGAGTGTGCGCGGGCGTGCGCGGGTGTGCGCGCGCGTGTCTGAGCGTGCGCGCGCGTGTCTGAGTGTGCGCGGGTGTGCGCGCGCGTGTCTGAGTGTGCGCGGGTGTGCGCGCGGGCGTGCGCGCGCGTGTCTGAGTGTGCGCGGGCGTGCGCGCGCGTGTCTGGGCGTGCGCGGGCGTGCGCGCGCGTGTCTGAGTGTGCGCGGGTGTGCGTGGGCGTGCGCGCGCGTGTCTGAGCGTGCGCGGGCGTGCGCGGGTGTGCGCGGGCGTGCGCGCGCGTGTCTGAGTGTGCGCGGGCGTGCGCGGGCGTGCGCGCGCGTGTCTGAGTGTGCGCGGGTGTGCGTGGGCGTGCGCGCGCGTGTCTGAGTGTGCGCGGGCGTGCGCGGGCGTGCGCGCGCGTGTCTGAGCGTGCGCGCGCGTGTCTGAGTGTGCGCGGGCGTGCGCGGGTGTGCGCGCGCGTGTCTGAGCGTGCGCGCGCGTGTCTGAGCGTGCGCGGGCGTGCGCGGGTGTGCGCGCGCGTGTCTGAGTGTGCGCGGGTGTGCGCGCGCGTGTCTGAGTGTGCGCGGGCGTGCGCGGGTGTGCGCGCGCGTGTCTGAGCGTGCGCGCGCGTGTCTGAGCGTGCGCGGGCGTGCGCGGGTGTGCGCGCGCGTGTCTGAGTGTGCGCGGGTGTGCGCGCGCGTGTCTGAGTGTGCGCGGGTGTGCGCGCGCGTGTCTGAGCGTGCGCGGGCGTGCGCGCGCGTGTCTGGGCGTGCGCGGGCGTGCGCGCGCGTGTCTGAGTGTGCGCGGGTGTGCGTGGGCGTGCGCGCGCGTGTCTGAGTGTGCGCGGGCGTCCGCGGGTGTGCGCGGGCGTGTCTGAGCGTGCGCGGGCGTGCGCGGGTGTGCGCGGGCGTGTCTGAGTGTGCGCGGGCGTGCGCGGGTGTGCGCGCGCGTGTCTGAGTGCGCGCGGGTGTGCGCGGGCGTGCGCGCGCGTGTCTGAGTGTGCGCGGGCGTGCGCGCGCGTGTCTGAGTGTGCGCGGGTGTGCGCGGGCGTGCGCGCGCGTGTCTGAGTGTGCGCGGGCGTGCGCGGGCGTGCGCGCGCGTGTCTGAGCGTGCGCGCGCGTGTCTGAGTGTGCGCGGGCGTGCGCGGGTGTGCGCGCGCGTGTCTGAGCGTGCGCGCGCGTGTCTGAGCGTGCGCGGGCGTGCGCGGGTGTGCGCGCGCGTGTCTGAGTGTGCGCGGGTGTGCGCGCGCGTGTCTGAGTGTGCGCGGGCGTGCGCGGGTGTGCGCGCGCGTGTCTGAGCGTGCGCGCGCGTGTCTGAGTGTGCGCGGGCGTGCGCGGGTGTGCGCGCGCGTGTCTGAGCGTGCGCGGGCGTGCGCGGGTGTGCGCGCGCGTGTCTGAGTGTGCGCGGGTGTGCGCGCGCGTGTCTGAGTGTGCGCGGGCGTGCGCGGGTGTGCGCGCGCGTGTCTGAGCGTGCGCGCGCGTGTCTGAGCGTGCGCGGGCGTGCGCGGGTGTGCGCGCGCGTGTCTGAGTGTGCGCGGGCGTGCGCGGGTGTGCGCGCGCGTGTCTGAGCGTGCGCGCGCGTGTCTGAGCGTGCGCGGGCGTGCGCGGGTGTGCGCGCGCGTGTCTGAGTGTGCGCGGGTGTGCGCGCGCGTGTCTGAGTGTGCGCGGGCGTGCGCGCGCGGGTCTGGGCGTGCGCGGGCGTGCGCGCGCGTGTCTGAGTGTGCGCGGGTGTGCGCGGGCGTGTCTGAGTGTGCGCGGGCGTGCGCGGGTGTGCGCGCGCGTGTCTGAGTGTGCGCGGGCGTGCGCGGGTGTGCGCGCGCGTGTCTGAGCGTGCGCGGGCGTGCGCGGGTGTGCGCGGGCGTGTCTGAGCGTGCGCGGGCGTGCGCGGGTGTGCGCGCGCGTGTCTGAGTGTGCGCGGGTGTGCGTGGGCGTGCGCGCGCGTGTCTGAGCGTGCGCGGGCGTGCGCGGGTGTGCGCGCGCGTGTCTGAGTGTGCGCGCGCGTGTCTGAGTGCGCGCGGGCGTCCGCGGGTGTGCGCGGGCGTGTCTGAGCGTGCGCGGGCGTGCGCGGGTGTGCGCGCGCGTGTCTGAGTGTGCGCGGGTGTGCGCGGGCGTGCGCGCGCGTGTCTGAGTGTGCGCGGGTGTGCGCGCGCGTGCGCGGGTGTGTCTGAGTGTGCGCGGGCGTGCGCGGGTGTGCGCGGGCGTGCGCGCGCCTGAGTGTGCGCGGGTGTGCCGGGGTGTGCGCGGGCGAGCGCGGGGTGTGCAGGGCTGTGTGTGCCGCTCTGTTTAGGGCTGTGTGTGCACGGTGTACCGCGCTGTTTAGGGCTGTGTGTGCCGCTCTGTTTAGGGCTGTGCGTGCAGGGCGTGCCGCGCTGTTTCGGGCTGTGTGTGCCGCGCTGTTTACGGCTGTGCGTGCAGGGCGTGCCGCGCTGTTTAGGGCTGGGCAGGCTCACCGGTGAGGAGCCGGCAGTGCCTCCTCTCTGCTCCGCCCGAGGAGCTCCTTGCCTGTGTGAGCCGGGATCTGCTGCAGAGAACAGCGCTGCTCTTTCCCTTCTGGCTCTTAATCATTCCTCTGTCCCTCATCCCTGTCCTAAAGCCATTCTCCACCCGCTGGAATGACTCTGCCAGTGACCATGGGACCTCCACAGCATTAGGGAGTGATCAGTGATTCACTGCAATTGCTCAGGTTTCAGAGCCGTGGATTATCTTTATAAATGCCCCCAACACTGCTATAGATGAGCAGGATTGGAAAGGTCTCTGTTCTTCAGGGAACTCCAGCATCCTGTTTTGTCGCATTCATCTTCAGGCTAATGAACAGTACCAACCTGCATCCAGAGAAAAATTAAAGCCACGGCTAATGGTAGCAACGAAATAAGTGGCAAAAGACTAAATGTAAATTGCTTTGAAAGCTGATACGTTTTCAGTGTGACATGATAATGCAAAAATGTTGCCAGTGCTGCTATTATTTATAATTCCCCAAATGTCTGAATTCCCTCCAGCCAGCATACATTAAGCACAATCCAGGGCATATGCCACAAATCATATTCAATGATGAAAAGTCAGGAGAAAAGCAAGAGCTCAATCTCTCTTGATTACAGCAGCCAAAGATTTCTTTTTCATAGACTGCCAGTACTAATGAATGGAGAGGACACAAAAGGAAAACAAAAATACTCAATTCAAATGTGCTTCATGTGCCAACAGATGTATCTGCTCATGAACTTGATTAATTAAATGCAAACTGTTGTCAAGAAATGTTGTTCAGGGCCTTTTAAGCCCTCACTCCATGGCATCCAGCCATGGTATGGAAGTGTGGTCCTGGAAAGCTGCATGGCCTTTAGCCCTGGGGTGCTGGGTACAACCATTGCCACCAGGAGGGCTGGTATTTATGAAGAGATCCATTTTGTGGTGGAGAATAGTAGGTCCCCAAAGCTCTGCTAGAGCATGATTGATTCAGTAAGCTGTGTCTTGCTGCTGTGCCAGTGCAACTGGAATGCAGCCTCAAAAGCAGAAGCTGGGCCTCCTGCTGACTCACAAAAATCTCTGATTTTCAACATGCAGCTTTCTGTCTAGAGATCATTTCCTTGCAGACAGTGCTTCTGAGATGATCTAACATTTCTGAAGTTATTGAAATATGTTCAATGTTCAGGAATAATTTTGAGACCCAAAGGGGACTTCATAGCACGAAGATCTGCCTTTGAAAGATTCCTGGGCAGAGGTCAGGGTTGAGCAGCACTCACTGCAGGGATCTGTTACACGTTCCTAGCAATGCATCATTGCAAGAGGATGGGAATGTTTGCCTTGCAAAGGTTGGCTGTGCTTTTAGAATCCCCCAAGTCTCAGATCTGCCCAGGCTGAGCAGCCCCGTGGCAGTGCTGCCCTGGCGCTGGCAGTGACAAAGGGGAGCAGCGTGTGGCAGCCTCTGGCACAGCCCTCTCAGAGCTGCCTCACGAGCCTTGCATGGCCATGTTTAGCCCTGCTCGCTGAAATCAAACCTGGCAGTGCACCTGGCAGGGCATTTTTTTTCTGTTTTTGAAGGATGGTTGGACTTTGCTCCAGTGGAAGCAAAGCAGGGCTGCACCACCACTGCAGGTCAGGCCTGGCTCCTGTCATCCACCTGTCTCTGGCTTTTCAGCTGCTACTGACACATTTTTGTATCTAACATTAACGTTTCAGTTGTTCTCAGGAGATCAGCCCATTATGTATTAGTCTCACTGATGCTGCTCTTCTGCTCTGCTTGGCAATGCTGATTATGTAAAGGATATTTAATGTTGTAAATAATTAAAATTTTATACAAGATTTTGTCTACTTTTCAGGAGTAAAAAGAAATAAAAGAAAATGTATGCAGTGAATCTGAAAAATGCTCAAGTCTTCTAGGAAGTGGGGAGACAGCTAATAATATATAATTAACATATCTTCCTTTCTTCCCTTGTTGGTGCAGACATGCCTTTAGATGAAAAGCATGGGAAATTAAAAGTGTGTGGGACTGAATAATGTTGAATTTTATGTAAGTTCAACCTATTCACCATCTACATGTGTTATGGAGAGAGCAAGCCTGCTCCTGCTCAGGGATCTCATCCTGTACTACCTTTGTACAGGCCTCCCCCATGGTGCCATGCTGGGGGTTTTCCTCCAAAAGGAAGGAAATTATGGCCTATCTTTTCCTATGCTGTTGAAGGAATCCAAAGTGTCCAAAAGGAATACATATTAAAGGGTAGTTCATTCATTTAGAGTCAAACGTTTGATTTAAAGTTCACCTCATGTTTCCATCAGACCTCCCGAGGTGGCACATCACAGCTCAGCAGCCCACAGTCAGGTAAAACCCTTTTTAATGTCTGACTCTGGAAGGACACAGTCCATTGAGGAGGCTCCTGAGCTTTCTGACAGGAATCCAGTCAAATGTGAAAATTAAAGGTTCACAGACAGCAGCAGCAGCAGATACTGCTGCTGGCAGCATCACTCACCCCAGATCCCAGAGCAGGCTGCTTCTTTTGGAACCCCTGGTCACTTGCACCATGAACAGCTGGCAAGGAGCAGCCCCTCACACAAACCAGAGACTTTCTGATGCTAAAAATGTACCCTGGGCTTAATGAGGCAGACAGGATACACAAGTGCCAGGTGTGGCTGTACCACACAGGTGCCTCTGTGCCCAGCCCAGTGCCCACATGGAGGAGTGGGAATGTCCACTGTGGGACCACCAGCTTGCTAGGGACAGAATGGGGCTGCCTTCTGATAACTGTAGGTGATGGGATGTACTCACAGATACTTCTGTTGTCCTTGCACTCATAATTATGCAAATGCAAATAGATAAATGGAGGTGGGTTTTGCTAAGAATTAGAGAGTGTTACTTGCATTTTACTGTGATGGACATAAGCTGGTTTTGTAGCTACTGGTTTGTAGTACCTGGTTATTCAGAGACTGCAAGAATTTGCTGTACTGCTCGTCAGAACTATTGATGGCTCCTGGTAGAAGAGCTCTGACTAAAGGTCAGGGGCAGATGAGTTTCTTGCTCACCCCAAAGCTGACATTTGCAGCCTTGTAGCCCAGAGTAACAGAGGCACAATGAGCCACAGCCACTTTACAGTCCTCAAACCTCTTATTTCCTTTGGGGAATGCTGGCCTGGTGCAGAGACAGAAACCCTGCTGCTGTATGATCAGTGTCCAGCAGCAGGATGTATTTACTGTCTGTGCTGCTCCCTGCCAGGTGCCCCTGGGCTGCAGCCTTGGGGAGCAGCTGTGACCGTGTTCACAGGGGTCAGGATGAGGGAAGGGATGAGGACCTGACTCCATGTTTCAGAAGGCTGATTTATTATTTTATGATATCTATCAAAACTATACTAAAAGAATAGAAGAAAGGATTTCATCAGAAGGCTGGCTAAGAATAGAAAAGGGATGATAACAAAGGCTTGTGACTGACTGAGACAGTCCGGACCAGCTGGGCTGTGATTGGCCATTAATGAGAAACAACCACATGAGACCAATCACAGATCCACTGTTGCATTCCACAGCAGCAGGTAATTACTGTTTACATTTCATTTCTGAGGCCTCTCAGCTTCTCAGGAGAAAAAATCCTAAGGAAAGGATTTTTCATAAAATGTGTGTGTGACAGAGCAGCCTCACCCCAGGGCTCCCATAACTGCCCTGTGCTGCTGGGCTGCCCAAACATCCCTCATTCCAACACAGAGACTCATCCTCAGTCCCAGGTGATTCCTCCAGGGACAAAAGCAGCTTCAGCTGCCACCAGGAGAAGTTGCATCACTTACAGCAAACACAGGAGGGTTTTCAGTCCTGAGCATACCCCAAACAGGGCAACAAAAAGCCTCTTCCTGACAATAGGCCTCTCTCAGCACTCAATAAATCCAAAATTTCATCTCCAAATAATTATAAATTCTACTTTTCCAGTCAGGTAAGTACCACTGATCCTGCATCCCCTCTGACTGGGCTAATGGAGCAAAGTGAAGCAAGAGAAACATTTTAAAGCTCCACCATTTGAAAAAGAGCTCTTGAAATTTCCAAGTCTTGATACCACACATATCGACCAAAATCACATTCTTCTGATCAAAGGATAGCATTCCATTGAGTTCAGACTTGCAGCCTCAAAGATATTAATTTTCTGAAGTCAATGAAGACAGTAAGACAAGAGATTTTACTTAAACTATATATTTTTACATAAAACAACTTTATGTTACAATAAAATCAGATAAAAATCACAAAGGTATATAATAAGTTCATAAAGAAAAAAATCAAGTTTTCATTTTATAGATATAAAACCCAGCATTTACTGCTACTAGGAGTCTAAATATTAACATTGACTGTCTATGGTCAATTTGAAAAAAGAAAAAAAAGAGGATAGTACCTTTTTACAGCAGACAAAATGAGGTAAGAGATGTTTTTACAATGATCCAACTGTAGTAAACACTTCAGTTTTCATTGAAACATATACTAAATATAATAAACCCAAATAAAAATATACATTTAGAGCACTGCAGTGTTTTCCCACAGTTGTATATCAACAAATTGTCATTCACTAAACTTTACTTGAAACAGTAAAAACAGGGTGTATGTTTATCTTTAGTACTAAAACCTCATAATAATCTAAATATTTTGGTATAGCAGACCACACTAGTACACTCTCAGAACTTTCAACTACAAGGGATATATTCATGTTAAAAACGATGTGCTTTGTTTGTCATTCATGATGAGATTTATAGAATATTATGTTCATGATCACTATTAGGCAATTAAATGAAAACATCTAAATGCTGCAAAATACTCTTTCACTGAGCATAGCTTCCTCATCACATACCCAGGTTAATCAAAATCCTGCAAACTTAGAAGCTTAGTTCACAAATCTTACTTTTCGGTCTTTTTAGCTAGTATATGGCTAAAATAATTATTGCTGACCAGTGTTAAAAAAACAAACAAACCCAACCCAAACAAAAATACAATAGCAGACAGATTTTTCTCAAGTGCCTCTCTTGTATGTACCATTATTATTAGGTAACTAAATTAACTAACTTTCAAAATGTGCATATAAAATTTTTGGAAGTATAGGCACCTTCATCTGAAGATTGTATGTTCAGGCTACCTGCTTAAAAAAAAAAAAAAAGAAAAAAAAGAAAAAAAAGAAGAAGAGCTAACATAAAACACAGTAGAAAATCAAAGGCTGGACATGCAACATCCCCCAGGGATGCAAGCAAAGCCCTCCTGGCCAGGACCAGCTCTGCCCACAGCCTGCAGGAGAGCCCTCCTTTGGGAAGCACCTTCACCACATTTATCATTCATCTCCTGACCCTATTTCAGTTATCATTTCCTGCAGAGAATGGTATTTAAAATGTGCAAACTTCACGTCAGGTTTACATTCCAACGGTGAGCCTAAAGCCCTGCTGAGCTCCTGGGACATGGCACAGCATCCCTGGCCAGCCTGGGGGGCAGCTGGGGCTCTCTGGCTGTGTCTGGATTCACCTCGTGGCTGTGGATGGCTTTTCCTGACACACAGGTGCTCGTTGAGCACCATCCATGGAAAGAAAAATGACCTTAGAGTAGCTTTCTGCTTTTTTGCTAAATCGTGCCCACAGCCAGAGCCTGCCAGCCCAGCCCAGGACTCCTCGCTGCCCCTCAGCTCCCAAAAGCTGTTCCTGCCCTCCTGCAAGGTCCCTGCTACTGCTGAGGCCCTGTGGGACA